CTCTAGTAAAAGCCAGCGCGATCACCACTTCTCAGGTGAGCAACGGTTTCCTAAAGGGCTCTCTACTGCTGCCCTTGATCCCATTTGCTCTGCTAAAATGCAAGGTCAGTTCACAGCACTTCTCAAACTCCAACAATGGCTGAAGAACACTGAAGTCCTAAACAAACAAACCCAACACACAATCTGCCTCCCCCTCAATCTGCTCCCCCTCCCCAAAATTTCTGACTTATCTCCTATTCCTCTTCCTCACATACTTCTGATCTAGCAACAAAATATGTGGGAGAAGCCAAGAGCAGTAGGAAGGTGGCAACAGTCTCGTTTGTAATGATTTGATTGCAACAATCAACACTATCTACATGGAGTAAGACACTGTATTTGAAATTTTGTTTGAATATCTGCTTCTTTACTACAGAATATCAAAAATTATGATAAATATTTAACCCTTTAAAAATATAGATAATGAATCCTTCCAGAAAACTACACAAAGACAAACATTTTGTGAACAATTTCAAGACCACTGTGATCCCGCTTAAAATCTACTCATGAAGCCTCACATAACACAGAAATACCAACTGGATACAGAAAGGTGACGGAAAGGGAAATGGACAGCATCAGTCAGCTGGATCCAAAGACTGCAACTGCCAACTTTCAGAAGCTGTTAGACTTTTAAGGAGAGTTTTTGTTTTCTTTGTTTTTTTCTTGATCAGAGTAGAGTACCAGGGATCTGTTTAAATGTGACCTGAACCATAATTTCAGAGTTCAGTAAGTGTTCAAAGGTTTTTCTGTGACTACCTGAGTCCCAAGACATCTTCCCGGAGTCCCCAGAAGCTGCCTCACTTCTGCCCTACCTCAAATTGAGCTCTAAACCTAGTTGCCTCACCAGTTCCCGTCAAGCAAGTAAATAAATAAATCAACTCCAAATCCATTTTACTAGAGAAAACTTAAGATTTTGGTGAGGGAAAGAGTCAGGTCACCAAGTGGCATTCTGCTCTCCTGGGGCTCTCCAGCATGTATCTCTTTCTAGTTCTTGTTTCCTTTCTCTGGTTCAAACAAGATAATTGTTCTTAGTACTGCAAAAATAATTACTTTCACAATCAAGTATTCTCAATATCCACTTTGTACCCGAAAGCACCTTCACAAATAAATACAGTTCCCTTCCTAAAGCAATGCTAGTGAATAAAGTGTTCTGCAACTTATAATACATATTAATCACAGGAATTTTAATAATACTTTTTAAAGAAAAAAATTTTAAATGACTGGTAATGATACCACCCAGACATAACTAATGTCAATGGTCTGGTATGTGTCCCCCTCTGGTTTTCTCCTCTATGGTCAATAATGAATTAAAGGAATCATCACTTCTATCCAATTCCTAGATAAAGATACCACAATGGGGACGAGAAATCTCAGGCAGCTCTTCTTTGAAATTTATTTTTTTTTATTTTAAAAAATAAAACAAAAGCCAGGAGCAGTGGCTCATGCCTTGTAATCTCAACACTCTGGGAGGCCATGGCAGGAGAAACATGTATGGCCAGGAGACCCCTATCTTGATTAAAAAAATAAAATAAAATTAGCCGGGTGTGGGTTTGTGTGCGTGTAGTTAGTCCCAGCTGCTCAGGAGGCTGAGGATGATTGCCTGGGTCCAGGAGTTTGAAGCCTCAGTGAACTATAATTGTCCCACTGCACTCCAGACTGGGCAACAAACCCTGCCTCAATTAAAAAAAAAAAAAAGGAATTCTAAAATGTTTTACATGCCATGATGCCATTCCTGTTACTCATAATGACCACCTGAATCTGGTTAAATCCTTTCAACCTCAATGTTCATGTACAGTCAGTACTATTTCCACAATATAAGCAGCAAGGGTAATATATTTAAAATCAGGACTACTTAAGTTGAATTATAATTTTATGTTAGATGCGTATTCATGTTATTTAGCTTTTTTTCATAATTATTTTGGTTCCTTTTATATATCTAGGTCTGTCATCACCCACAGGCCCAAATAAAGTTCGGAGGGAGGGAGGGAGGGAGGAAGGGAGGGAGGAAGGAAGGAAGGAAGGCAGGCCGGCCAACACTCAGAACAAATACAAAAATTCCTCTAAACAAAAATTCCTCTACTATCAAGGTAAGTCCCTTAAGTTTCTTTTCTTTCTTTCTTTCTTTTTTTTTGAGTCAAAGATTCTCACTCTATGTTGCCCAGGCTGGAGTGCAATGGCACGCTCAAGGCCACTCCAGCATCGGCCAGATGGGCTCAGGCGATCCTTTCACCTCAGCCTTCCAAGTAGCCGGAACTACAGGCGCGCAATATCACAGCGGGCTAATTTTTTGGTATATTGTAGAGATGAGGTCTCATCAAGATGCCCAGGCTGATTTCGAACACCTGGCCTCAGGCAATCCTCTCGCCTGGCCTCCCAAAGTGCTGGGATTATAGAATTGAACCACCGCGCCCAGCGAGTCCCTTAATATTCTATGATAGAAATATCTAAGTATCCAGAGTACTTAGATCACTTTTCTATAAACTACTATCAATACTGAAGTCTTGACACAAAGTTTTCTTCGTAGACCTTTGCTAACCCATAATCAATCTTCAGAAGCAATCAAAAAGAGTTCTCACTTGGAAGGCTGAGGCGGAAGGATCGCTGGAGCCCAGCAGGTAGAGGCTGCGGTGGCCGGGAGCGGCCACTGCACTCCAGTCTGGGCGACAGAGTGAGACTCCAACTCAAAAAAAAAAAAAGAGTTCTCCTGTAAAGATCCTGTCTTGCCAGGTGCTGTGGCTCATGCTCATTATCACAGCACTTTGGGAGGTGGAGCTAAGAGGATTGCCTGAGCCCAGGAGTTTGAGACCAGCCTGGGCAACTTGGTGAGACCTTGTCTCTACAATCAAAAAAAACAAAAAACAAAAAATTTAGTCGGGTGTGGTGGCACACAGCTGTAGTTCCAGTTACTTGGAAGGCTGAGGTGGAAGAACTGCCTGAGCTCAGCAGGTCAAGACAGTGGTGGCTGTGATGATGCCACTGCACTCCAGCCAGGGTGACAGAGTGAGATTTCGACTAAAAAAAAAAATCCCATCTGGAGTAAAATTCCATAACTATAATAGTCATTCTCACTGTGCTTTCTTAATTATTGCTTCTAAAGTAAATTTAATAAATGTGTTACTCAAACAGCCCCTTTACTCTCTCTGAAATTGTTTTAAAGGGTGTAGAGGTTAAGGACTCTGATCACCATGCTAAAATCCTACTCCTAATGCATAAAACAAAGAAATTCTAAAAAATATTTAGACTTTTTTCACTCTGTTATTTCACTTAAAGGATCTCTGACCTGAAAAGTTAGATTTCAATTCTTAATGACTTTGTTCACACTAAGCTCTGTCATGACATTTGCCTATCATTTAAAGTTATTAATTTTCTGTCTTTGGATTTCATAGATTATTTTTAAAAAGAGGTTTTTTTCCCCTCTTTTCTTATGTTACCTATGACATATGGCCCATCTCACATAATAATCAGTACAACAGGCACTGTGAAAATTCCTTCTGGCCCCAGATAAAGTGAGCCTTGAATATTAAAGTAGAAACCACATTACTTGCACATTTAAGGAAAGTGTATTTTGCTTAGGGAAGTAAAGGACATTTTTAGTATATTATTAGTAACTTTTAAAAAAAAGAGCTTAATAATATTTTCTTTATAGTATTCAGGGAGAAAAAGGCAAAGCATTATGAACTCCACTCAAGGTTCAAAGGAGGGGAGAAAGTTAGTACCGACAACTAAACAAATTGTCACGTTTCATCTAAACACAAATATTCACACATCAGTTAACTTTTCTAGATTAAAAAACAATTTGCACATACATGTGGATCTTCAATAAATAAGCATGTGGTATTTATTAGACTCTCAGGCAGAATAAGAACGATGCCTAAGATTCTATAGCTGATCCAAGTCTATTTCTGTAGGGCAGAAGGGGGTTTGGAAAGAGAGACAAGATTCGGAATACATATTCCTGTGCCATGAAATGAACCTTTTCCAGAGTGACCCCAATTATACTCTCAAACCAACTCAGAGGTTATTATACAAATTTGCAGTTTATTTTACATGAAAAATTAAAATTTATCTTCTTTTTACTTACAAAAACTTCATGAAAATACACTCATGCCAAGAAGATTCAGTTACCTCACTATAAACATTTTTATTCTTAACTGTTTTATGAGTCTACAAAATCAATTTTTTAATTCCTCAAGTACTATGAGTCAGCATAACACAACATAGAACTGAGTATTTATTATGCTTAGAAACAGTAAAATATTACTAAGGTGGATACTGGAATTCTATGTAGTAAAGTTTTCTAAAACCAAATAATAAAATACAATTATTCTAAATTCTTGTTATTATATGTCTTTCAAGATCTGAGACCTATTGTAGCTGTGGCACTAACCTCTAAATATACTAATTGTTCTAGCCTGTAGAAACCTAAGAAAAATTTTCAGTACCAAGCTTAGGAATAAACTTTTAAAGGCAACAAGGGAAAAAAACGGAAAAATTATACAGGCTTATAAACAGCATATAGCAATTAATGGTCCTAGCAATACTTAGTTACTTAATTTCATTTCTCTTCCCTCTAAAAAATGTCTTTTCCTTTATTCCAATCTCCTATATTACAGTATTAATATAAATGCACTGAAAATCCAGAAACACTCCACAGTTTCCCATGAAAACACAACACATGTAAACTGAACATGCACCCTGACACAACCATGTGTACACATGCGTGGGGCTGCACGTGGTACTTCCTTTGTGGCCCAATCCTGCTTGTGTAGCAGATGCCCTCTTTCACCTGCCACTGGCTCGCTTAGGTTATGCTTGTAGCCAACGCTTATTATTTTTGCTGTTTGATTTTTGCCAAAATATTCAACTTTTGTAATGAATGGAAATTTATTTAATATTCACATTTATTTAATATTTTAAATGTAGATATTTTAGAGATTTTGTTTTCCATTGTAAGTGTTACCTACCTGTTTGAACATCAATGACCATCTGATGACCTCCTCTCATTCCTGGTCGGTTGTCTTCTCCATCACCTTTAGAGGAAATAATATTTTCTTTTAAAGGAATAACAAAGAACAACTGTAAACTCAGACAACTTCACTCATAAATCTGTAATCAGTAGTAAAAAAACCCATATTTATTCCTTCAAAATATTAAGAATAAATAAAAGGATCCATAAAAGAAACAGTATGACTTAAATCTATGCCTAGTTCTTACTCTTTCTTCCAATTGCATTGAGGATAGTACTGCAACTGGAAGCTGTTTTTGATTTATTTATGAGCAATGCCATAAATCAGCAAAGACATATGATACTACACAAAAATGTAAACCAAAAATCTCTAGACTACTTGAGTGACGATTGAAGGTGAAAAACAATTACAAAATCAGATCTTGTGTCTACATTTCAGTCATAGCTTTTTTTTTTTTTTTTAAGTCAGAGTCTCACTCTGTTGCCCAGGTTGGAGAGCAGTGGCACATTCACGGCCACTGCAGCCTCAATCTGCTGGGCTCAGGCGATCCTTCGCCTCAGTCTTCCAAGCAGTTAGAACTACAGGTACCTGCCACCACACCCAGCTATTTTCTTGATTTACTGTAGAGATGAGGTCTCGCTAAGTTGCCCAGGTTAGTCTCAATTCTCTGGGCTCAGGCAATCCTCTGGTCTCGGCCTTCCAAAGTGCTGGGATTACAGGTGTGAGCCACCACACCCAGCTCAGTCATAGCATCTTAGTATAATGAGTAGTGTTAAAATTTATAAAACTAGTTACTAAAAACTAAGATGTTACTAAGTTTTAAGTTAATGATAATTTCCTTACTGTATTAATTTTGAGCCAATATTTCAGAAATGAGTTCCCACCTAATTTTTTTAATAGGAAAATATAGCTTATTTAAAAAGTAAATTAGAGGCTGGGCACAGTGGCTCAAGTCTGTAATGCCAGCACTTTGGGAGGCCGAGGTGATGGGACTGCCTGAGTCCATGGGTTTGAGAACAGCTAAGGCAACTTGGTGAGACCTCATCTCAACAACAACAACAGCAACAAAATAGCTGGGTGTGGTAACGCATGCCTGTATTTCCGGCGACTTGGAAAGTTGAGGCGGAAGGATCACTTGAGCCCAGCAGGTTGATGCTGGGGTGGCTGTGAGTGGGCAGTGAACTCCAGCCTAGGCGACAGAGTGAGACTCGAACTCAAAGAAAAAAAAAAAAGTAAATGGGGAGGGGAGAGGCAGGACAGGGGGAAGAGGTGGGAGAGGAGGGAGGGAGGAGAGAGAGAAAATTCACCTCTCCAAGGCAGGAAAGGGGGCCAAAGCCAGGAAGCATGGTGACAGCCATAGCTCAAAGAGCACATGGCCACACCAGTCTAGCAAGGCAATGGCCCCCAACTAATTTACCAACTATTTTATTTGAGTACTGACAGAAAGTATGAGATTTATTGTTTAACTTGTATCTAATCTTACTCTACACCAAATCTTATATAAAGCTATACCTTCATTTCAATGGTTCAACGATTAAAAGATTCTAATGTCTTATTTGACATGAATCAGAAAGTCTGAGGTTTCTTCATAACTTTGCCATTAATTGAAATATATTATTTTGGTTAATAAGTTTTCCTGTATCTGCTTTCTCCTATGTAAAATTGAGAAGAACATCCAGCTTTATACTAGTTTCACAGGTGTGTTATGAAAATAACTGAAATGTCAGTTTATATATACAGAAAATAAGATGTCAAATCGAAGCTTTTCATGACTACGGCATTCAACGACTAATCATTTGGAAGACCCCTACAGATCCTTTCTCCTAATAGTTAAGCCTTTCAGATTCTGTAGCTCATGATCTCTGAAGCTCAGGCAGATTGTCAGTTAGTATTACCACATTCAAGAAGAGAACAGGAAAGCACCAAAATAAATTCATTTTCAGTATGTTTGCATTTTACGTATTTAATCCACATTAAATACAGTGTGCAAATACACATTAGTCTGTTTTCTATAATATTTGTGTCTTTGAAGAAAATTACCTGAAACATGATTGGAAAGCTAGGAGAAGGATGTTTGTAGAACAGAAATTATGGAGATTCATAAGCAATTTCCCCTGTCTATTCACATTTAACACTATCAGGAGAAACCCTTCTCACAACTAAACAGAAGGCTTTTGTGACATAGGAACTCTGTAAGACAAAGAAGGAAGTCCACAGAACTGCCTTCCTGTGCCGTAAATGGCCGCATCAAGGAACAGCCACACTCTCCACTCTGTTAACTACCTGGCAAAGCAGTGAGGATAGATGAAGAAGGGGCAAACACGTCCCCTAGATAGGAATGATGGGCTAGTGGAGACGACTGTACCCGGGATCAGGTTTAGATCTGGATGAAAACAGTCTTTACGAGAGGCAACCCTACAGGACCCAGGACTCCAGAAGGAAGCGTGAGGCACAGGGCTGACGATTCCACACACACTACAAGGCTCAATATCAACACCCTGAAGACTGAAACGCACACTCCTACTTATTTTTGTTAGAATGACTATACTAGTTGTTACTCATGTCTGGTTTTAAAGTTCCATATATTTAGAACCATTTGCCCCCTTTCTATTCTTCTCATCAGCCCTATTAGGTTTAGGGAGCAACTTTGTAAAACTTCAGCTTTTCAGGAACACATGTATGGCATTACAACACAGCCTATAATTTTATATAGTGTCTTGATGAAAGCAGTTTATAGAGATCTTTTGTGCAAACACTGCCCAAACTTCTGCTATGGCAGTAAGACAAAAAGGTTTAAAATTGTAGTGTAATAAACTTACTTTGCCACCCACTTAAGGAATCTCTGTCTCATTGAAAACACCTGCTTTTTACTAACAGAGGACTATGGCACTTGCACACTTGTGTGATCTTGGGAAAACTGAAGACCAAGACAGTAAAGAAGAAACGTCACAACCTGGAGGGCAGGGCTTACCTTTGGTGCTCTTGGGAATGATTTGACTCCATCGTGGCTTATATTCCTGCTGGCTGATATACTGGTTGAACAAGCCATCTACAAGTATCAAAGAATAAGAGAATCACAGCTTAACTCGCTTACACTTTGGATCAGAGAAAAAAAAATATTAAAATGTAGAGGCCTACATTAGGAGAAATTACTATAATGTCACTAATACAAAAGCACATTTTCATAAGAGAGGTACCACTTCGGTTTTGCTTCATTGCCCCAAACATAAACATAAAGTATTAGCCACCCAACCGTAAGCACAGGGCTGTAGGGGCATCTCACATTAAGCTATGTTCCCATCACTAGTGCACCCACTAGATACAAAAAGGCAATCCTGCACTCCGTGGACAGGTGTGTGACACTAACAGTAGGGCTGTCAGAGACCTCAGCAGGGGGAAAAGGGAGTCATCCAGGACAATTAAAGCTCCCAAACAGAAGTTGGGGAAAACGAGAATAAATACATGTAAATGCAAAAAATTTGAATACATAGCACAAGTCACTTAAAAATCACTTCCGACATGAACACAAACACAAGCGGAAAAGGAGGGCCCTAGAGAGCGGGAGAACCCTACACAGCTCCCTTGCGTGGCCTTCCATCACTCGTCTTCAGTTCGACTTTGAAGCTGCCCATCTTCACTCTGTAGCGCAATGGATTCACTGCACCCCAGTCTCTTCCCACCAACAGGGCTTTGTGCCAATAATTTTTGTCACTTGAATATAAGAGAACTAGGGAAGAAAATGAGAGCTCTGACTTCGGTCTAGGCCCTTGCAGCACATCTTCAGGAAAAGACAAAACTAACTCACTGAAGTGCGAATTCCACTATTACACACTTTCTCTGAGTACAAAACTACATGGAGATAAAAGTACCAACAGCAGTAACAAAACTATGTTTATAGAACACTCACTAAGTATGAGAATCTGTGTTGTCTCATGTATTTAATACTAAAAACGACCTTATGAAATAGGCATTATAATTTCCATTTTACAGATAGAAACCAGCCGTTAAATCTGTTACCTCTGGACTCCTTGTTATGTGATACAATAACATTTCTTTACTTGTCAACCTAGGGTTTTCTTTTACATGCACTCAAATAGCTCATAATTTATAAAGTTAACTTTATACTATAAATTCTGTCATTTGACTCTGAATTTAAAAGTAAAACTGTTTTCTATGACTTGTATACTGTGGGAGACAGCTCCCTAATCTCTTTCCTTTTTGGGTAATTAAGAAGCTCAGTTGTAATCAATCCTTTTGGCTTTCAAGTCTTCTCAGCTGGCTTTAACTGAAAACTTTCATCCTATATGCACACTTGTCAAATTTCCTTTTTTCTTTGCCTTTGGGACTTCAAAAAATAATTATTCATTTTATCAGTTTTTCAGATCCTGAAAAGAGAAACTATTTATAATATAATATTGGGAAATGGAACTAGTAAATATTTACTAGGACAGTAAAGCATAGTGGTAGAGTATGGATTTTGGTGCCAGACTGAGTTCAAATCTTATCTCTGTCATTTACTAGATATGCTGTCTTAGGCATACTACTTAATTATTCTCATCTAGTAAATGAGGTTATCAACAATATTTACCCTAGAAGATAAGGTATGAGAATTAGATAAATTCACATAAAGGCTTAGGAGACTAGATGGCACATTGTCAGGCTCTCAAATATATGTTAGTTATGATTACAATAATGAAGGAGGAGCTGGAAAAACCTAACAATTTTTTATGTACAAAATGAGAAATACGGCACTAAGGCAAACAAGAGTTAAGAGGAGGGAGCAACTGGTGAAGGATTGACAAAAGAAGATATCTTGAAAGTGCTGGTCTTGATGCATGAACTGCAACTAAACAAAGAGGGAAGTAACAGGGAATCATAAAGGCAAAAAGGCATACATAAGAAAAAGGTATGGAAAAAGCTATGCTTCAGGAAACTGTGTAGCAGTCAGGTGAAAGGAAAAAAGAAGGGAAATTTTGCATTATAAGCACTGCTGAAAAGAAACAGAATCCTAACAAGGACAAGAATATCTCTCTCTCTCACACACACACACACACACACACACACACACACACACACACACAGACACACCTCACTATCCTGGAACGCAGGTGGAGCTTCTGGCACACAAGAAGCTTCTTTCAACAGTCAGGAAAAACCCGCCTCATTCAAAGATTAATAATTGTCAAAAAGAACCAACCCAGGAATAATACCAAGATACAAAAAGTAAAAGACAGGAATAAAGAAAAGTGGCAAAATGAATCTGATCCAACAAAAAAAGATAGTCATGCAATAGATTAAAGTGGCCAAATACTTTTCTAAGAATTTTTTAAAGTTAAGTAAGCAACTCTCTCTGAAACACGAGCACAGATTAGAGAGATGACAAGTTAGACAGCAGAGATTGAAACAGTTGAAAAAGATACAATAAGACAACAAAAGGAAATGAAAAATGTATTGTTAGAGTTGAAGAGAAAGAGAAAACAAAATGAAAATATCACAGAAATGAAGGCAAAAGTGTAGAAGGAGAGAAGACGCTAATAATAATGATGATGAAAATATATTAAGAGAAATGGTGTAAAGAACTTAGAGAAGCTTGAAAAACTAGGCAGTGCTGTGCAGTCAAAAGGATAAATGAGAAAAATGAAAGAAACAACAAAGGCAGCATACATTTAAATGAAAGGAAAATCAAAAGACACAAGAGTTAACAGGGCTGCCACACTGAGTTTAACAGTGTGAATGCAGATAGCCCTGTTAATATAACTGCAAAATAATCTAAAGCGAAGATAAAATAATTAAATAGCCAGGGGAAAAAATATTACATTCAGAGGCACAATAGCTGAAAAATGACAGTGCACTTCTCAACAGCAACAATGAAAGCTGGTTAGCAATAGAATACTATTCAAAATGTGTTTAAAAAAAAAAAAACAACTGCCAAGTTAGAATTCTAAATCCCACAAAAATCTCCTAAAAAAGAGACAAAATTTTTCAACTGAACTAAAAACTCAGAAGAAATTCTTAAGAATGTGCTTAGGGAAAAGTGGTGGTGGCAATAGCAAGAGAACTAGAATTAGAAGTGAAGTCTGAAGATGTAACTGAATTGCTACAGTTTCATGATACAACTTGAACAAATGAGGTGCTGCTTCTTATGGATGAGCAAAAAAAGCAGTTTCCTAAGACAGAATGTACTATTGGTGAACACTGTTGACACAACAAAGGATTTAGAATATGACAAAAACTCAGCTGATAAAGCAGCAGTAGGGTTTGAGAAGACTGACTCCAATTTTGAAAGAAGTTCTACTGTGGGTAAAATACTATTAAACAACTACAGAGAAACCTTTAGTGAAAAGAAGTCCATAGATGCAACAAATTAAGACATTACCAGAGTCACCCCAACCTTAAGTAACCAATGTCCCAATCAGTCAGCAGTCATCAACCTAAGGAAAGATTACGACTCACTTAAGGCTCAGAAGACCATTAGCATTTTTTTAAGCAATAAAATACTTTAAATCAAAATATGCCCTTTTAGATAAAATGCTATTGCACACTTAACAGACTACAGTATAGTGTAAAATATAACTTTTATATGCATTAGTCAACCAAAAAGTCCGCGTGACTCATTTTACTATGATACTCACTCTACTAAGTGGTCTGGAACCAAACCTACAATATCTCCAAGATATGCCTGTAATGAACAACTACAGCATAATCACAAAGGTTAGAGAGGAGAGGTAAAAGGTAGAATAAGAAAGAAAAAAGAGAGGAGGGAAAGACAGAGGAAGGTAGGTAGAGATTTCAAAATGAAATTTTAGGACCACTTCATTAAACTTTATCAACTCTCTTATCTCACAAAAGTAAACTTATACATATTACATACAAACATGTGTGTGGGGGGGGGAGGGAGAGGGAGAGGGAGAGAGGAGAGAGAGAGAGAGAGAGAAGCAGTTAAGATAAATTCTGGGGCATCTACCTCAGGTACCCTCCCATTGTGGGAGCTCTTCTGTCCTCTCAATAAATCCTACTTTCAAAAAATAAATTCTCCAAGGGAGGTTTTCAGTACAATTTCTACCTCTTTGAGTAAAACTTTCCTGTTCCTAGGTGATTACTTTTGCAATGATTGGTTCAGGAATCACTTCTAATGAAATGAAATGTAAATACAGGAATGCTTCTAGGCAAATAAAAAGCCTATTAGAGAAATAAAGGCTGACGTTTACTCAAAACACAGACCATAACTTAAAGACCATAGTAATATACTAAATATACTAATAGTAACTTTTGTTTCCTCCATTCTTAGAGGCTTGATAGAAGGTACTTTGGATTCCCGACTTTCCTACTTAGCAAGGAGGAACTTCTTGTCCTTCTCTGCTATGTTTTTAGTACAATGGAAGCCAAAAACTCTGCACTGTTTACTTCCTTATTTGTCCAACAAACCAGTGAAGTCAGAAGCAAACTGAACAATGCTAGAAAGAATGTTTATTAACTAACAGTGTTCCAGGCTGGTTCAGAAGAGCCCACAGTAGTGCAAAAACTGTCTTCCCTCTAACTTTCCAGAATTGAGTTACTACCAACTTCTTTAAACTTGGTTTCTTTCTAGAAAGTTAAATCTCTGTGGTAATCAAAGTTGCATAGGATTTTAACAGTAACAACTGAGTATACTATGAAAGAGACAATTTTAAAACATAACTGTTTTTAGTCTACTAGGTAAAGTTCCCCATAATTGTTTTACTTTCTTTTCACAATATATCAAATGTCTCAATGGCAAGGAGTTGAAACAAAACCAAAAAGCCATAAAATTACCTATGCCTTTCTCATTCTATTAGGTTAAAAAAATATAGAATTCACTTTTAGAAATGGTATACATACATATATACTTTCACTGCATCGTTTTAACGGTTTGGTAAGAGATGCATTATTATATATGTTCTATCTATCTATCCTCCAACATATACTCTATTTCAAACATACCAATCATATATTTGCAAGCATCATCATCAAATAAGCAATATCAATGTATGTAGTTCAGAGGCAGATTTGTTAGAGCTTGAAGCAATTCATTTCAAGTTGACTTTAAATTTATAAACTCTAAGACAGCAGTACAGGTTCTCTGTGTTTTGTGGTTATAAAATACCTAACCCAGTATCTCATTAACTATGAGTGCCTAAATACAGTGGATGATAATAACAGTAGTAAGATTAAAATAACATGAGAGCAAAGGACTGAAAAGTCCATGATTTCATATTTCTTTCTATAAAAGATGCACCAAATTCAATTCCACAAGTTTTACACTGAACAACTACTCTATTCTTTGTCATTATGAAAGTTACTGCAGAAGATTTTTTTAAAAAATCTCATTCTATAAGCAACGTAAGATTCCTTTTTATTTTAAATAACAAAATACATCAGACCTTGAATATCCACTTGGGTGTCATCCTCCAAACCTTGGAGATTATGTACAAGTTCAAATACTCTCGTATCTTTCAAAGTCAGGTGACAGCTCACACACAAAAATCAGCAATTATATAGCACTCACACCATAAAGAAACTGTTTTTAATACAAATCTCCTTGGTTCATTATCATTATAATTACCTACGAATAACATTTTTTTTGGCCATCCAATCCCCTCTTCCCAAACTTACACTGTTAAAGTGGAGACAAAAATACTTAAAGAAACAGGCCAGTAATACTGAAGGTAATTTCAAAAGATACTTCTAACATGGTTTAGTGCTAATTAATGCTATCGCTTATAAGTGCATGGTTTTCCAAGACAAGAACTTAAATTTAGTTATGTGAATTCAAGCACCTTTCTTTTTTCAAGACTCCTTACATTATGGACCTATCTTACATGAAAAAAGTCACTAATCCAAGGAACTAACAATCTTTACCAAGTTTTAAAAAAACAGGAAAAAAATGGGAAAGAGTAATAACTGGCGTAAGCTTATATTCTTTTTGAAAAAGTGTCCTCCTGTATATACTTGAAGTTACCCTAATAACCAACCTAAGTTTCATACCATTTACAGCTTTTTCAATCAATTCTTCACAAGCATCAAAATCACCCTTCAGCACCAGTTTGTCATGAAGATCTGTCAGCATGGGATGCTCCAGTGCAATTCTGGTTTTCTTCTGCAGTGACTCAAAAGCTTCTGTGTAGTTGTGCTGTCTGAAGTGTTTGAGGCAAAGGCGAATTGCTTCCTGTTCACGGTACTACTAGAACACAACAGAAAGTAATAGAAAGAAGAGATCTGCTTAGATGTTGCTAGAAGAAATAACGATGAAAATAGACTAATCTAAATGGAGCATTTACTATGCACCAAGCACTGTACTAACCCTACTCACTAGGTATCATTATTTCCATCTTTCAAATAGCCCAGAACTGAAGCAAAGCCTTTGTGATAACTTGCCCAAGGAGATGAAACCAGATGTAGCCAAGGAGATGAAACCAGATCTAATTCCAGAGCCTAAACTTTGAAAAGAAAATAAAGTAGAAAACCTACTTATTAAGGTCCATTTAAGACTGTAAAGATGGTTACTCCCATGGCATCTACCAAAAACATTACAATGCAGGTACGGAAAGCACAAAAAACATTAAATAACATACGAAGTCCCAGCGTAGGCAGCATAGCAAAACCTCATCTCTACAAATAAATAAAAATTTTAAAATGTCAGGTGTGGTGGCATGCGCCTGTAGTCCCAGCTATTTAGGATGCTGAGGAAAAAGGATCGCCTGAGCCAGGAAGTCCAGCTTGGGAAAAAGATTGAGATCCTGACTTAAAAAACAAACAAAAAAAGTAACAATATATGGAAGTTAAATTTTAAAAAAGTATAATTGCTTGAATAACAAGTATTATCAAATGTACAGATATAGTAAATTTACAAACAGGTCTTATGACTCAAAAATAATCAGAAAGAGACCAACTGTTACCATTTTCTAAGCCTGGGCTACCTCATCTATTAAACAGCTATAAAGTAGACATCTTAACTGATTAACTAGAATCCAAGAAATAGGCTCTCAAGTTACTAAATTTTTCCCCTAACAGGATAAGTGCCAAAAATGCAATCTCATAAAAAAATGTTTTTTAAAAAACATCAACTTCAAGAATATGTCCTGAGATTACCTCAAATTTCCTAAGTAAACCCTGTACAAGCAAACAGACAACAAAGGCGCTGCATGATAATCACAAAACAATGACTTACTTATAAGCATCACTCTCTATTTCTTTCTATCTATCTATCAGACGACAAAGGCACTGCATGATAATCACATAACAATGACTTACTTATAAGCATCACTCTATCTATCTATCTATCTATCTATCTATCTATCTATCTATCTATCTATCTAGAGACAGGGTCTCTATCTATCTAATCTAATCTATCTATCTATCTAATCTATCTATCTATCTATCTATCTATCTATCTATCTATCTAATCTATCTATCTATCTATCTTATCTATCTATCTATCTATCTATCTAGAGACAGGGTCTCTATCTATCTATCTATCTATCTATCTATCTATCTATCTATCTATCTAGAGACAGGGTCTCACTCTGTCTCAGTTGGGTCTCACTCTGTCTCAGTTGCCCAGGGTCTCTATCTATCTAATCTAATCTATCTATCTAATCTATCTATCTATCTAATCTATCTATCTATCTAATCTATCTATCTATCTAATCTATCTATCTATCTATCTAATCTATCTATCTATCTAATCTATCTATCTAATCTATCTAATCTATCTATCTTATCTATCTATCTATCTATCTATCTATCTATCTATCTATCTAGAGACAGGGTCTCACTCTGTCTCAGTTGGGTCTCACTCTGTCTCAGTTGCCCAGGGTCTCTATCTATCTAATCTAATCTATCTATCTATCTAATCTATCTATCTATCTATCTATCTATCTATCTATCTAATCTATCTATCTATCTATCTTATCTATCTATCTATCTATCTATCTAGAGACAGGGTCTCTATCTATCTATCTATCTATCTATCTATCTATCTATCTATCTATCTATCTAGAGACAGGGTCTCACTCTGTCTCAGTTGGGTCTCACTCTGTCTCAGTTGCCCAGGGTCTCTATCTATCTAATCTAATCTATCTATCTATCTATCTATCTATCTAATCTATCTATCTATCTAATCTATCTATCTATCTAATCTATCTATCTATCTATCTAATCTATCTATCTATCTAATCTATCTATCTAATCTATCTAATCTATCTATCTTATCTATCTATCTATCTATCTATCTATCTATCTATCTATCTATCTATCTAGAGACAGGGTCTCACTCTGTCTCAGTTGGGTCTCACTCTGTCTCAGTTGCCCAGGCTGTAGTGCAATGTTGCAATCACAGCACACTGCATCCTTGACCACCTGGACTCAGGTGATACTACTACAGGCAAGCACTACCATGTCTGGCTAATTTTCTTGGAACTTTGTATAGAGACAAAGTCTCGCTACATTGCCCAGGCTGGTCTTAGGCTCCTGGGCTCAGGTGATTCTCCAGCCTTCCAAAGAGCTGGAGATATACACGCATGTGCTACCACACCTGGATAGCATTACTCTTTTATAAGGCAATAAGATATTTAAGAAGATTTAGAAGACTTAAATCAGTTTACTGCTGACTTCTTGACTAATAAAAAGTTATTAAACACCTATTCCTCACACACTATAATTAACCAAGATTTTACTTCATCAAATAATCATGATTCTACAGCCACACTAATTTTACATGAATAGTTTCTTACTCTTGGCCTCTAAAAAAGATGTATCATAACTATCTATATAATAATATTTAGTTACATTAAACAATAATCATGTTTACTTTGGGAGTTTCAATAAAATCCACATCTTAAATTTTTCATCAGACTGTAAAACTATCCCACTAAAAACTATATTTAAAGTACTTATATCAATACAGATAAAATTCAGGGTCAAATGGGTATAATAACATAATGGTAGATTATGAAGCCAAACTACCTGAGTTCATATAGTGGCTCAAGCACTTTACAACTGTGTGACTCTGGATAACATGTTTAACCTCTCTGTGCTCTAATTCCTCATCTGTAAGTTAATGGGGATAGTTAATTGTACCTGTCTGATAGTGAGATAAGAACTAAATGAACTGTCAGGATTGCTTAAAAGCGAGCAGACTGGAAATGCTTAGTATTAGCTGATTAATTCTTATAATTTTAATTATTATTCTCAATATTTCAAATTATTCCTGATGAAAACAAGAGACTGATAAAGGCCTCAATAGAGTTGGATTTTCAAGCACAGTCCTACCTTGCTATACCAGTTGAGACAGGGTTGTACGACATCAGGGTCATCGATGCCACTAAGTTCAACATACCAGATGCTAAAGTTAAAGCTGGGTCCCCAGGACAAGAGTGGAACTGGAAGGAGGGAAAACAAAAACAAGAGAAAAATCAACATAGTTCAAATAAGCCTTTACCAAAGTAATATCACTAGTCGAGCCTGTAGTGACTCATTCAACAATTTTTCCAGGCATCTTCTATATGCCTAGCATGGTGTTAAGGTTCCGTAGCAAAAAGGAACACGTGACCTCTACCATCAGAAGGTCTCCTTAGCTAATGAAAGCAGTGTAAGATAAATTCAAACTGGTCAGATATCAACTCTCAAATAAAAACAACAAGAATTATATAATTTAACAGGTAAATTTTATCAAACTTACAAGCAACAAAAAATTATTTCATATTTTAAACTATATCTAAGCACAGAAAGAGACTAAAAGTTCAATTATTATCATCAGTAGCACAACCCTGAAAACAAAACCAGAAGATAAAGTATTTAAAGTCAGTCTCAGCTATGAATATATATTCAAATTAAAGGAGAAAAAGGTTGCAAACACGACTACCAAGTTTTCACTGTAACCAGATTCTGGGAATGGAAGGATGGCTCAACAACAGGAGCCCTGTTAATGTAACTTGCCACCATAACAAAACAAAAGAAAAAACACATTTGATTACTTTAACAGATGCTAAATACAAATTTAATAAGATGTTCTATTATTTTTTAAAACACCCTTAATATATAAGAAACACAAGGAAACAAAACAACTTCCTTACCTAGATTTTTTACAAAGTACCAAAAATCACAAAAATTAAACCTAATGGAGAAATACCAAGTATTCCCACTCAAGTCAGAACAACATAACGAGGTCCAACATCTCGGTTCTTTAACACTAATGCGAGGTCTCAGTCAGTGCAATTTTTAAAGAATCAAGGAAAAAATGGACACTTGGAGATGGCACAGTTGTCTAAAAAATTCAAGAAACTCAACTGAAAACCTTTTTAAAAATTTGTAAATAAGGTAAATAAAAAAATTCAACTTTTCCTATGTCTACAATAACCAGTTCAAAAATACAGCAAAAAAAGTTCCATTTTTAACAGCAAAAAAGTTGAAAATGTCAGAATAAATGGCAAGATAATGCAATATTTATTTTTAAAAATATAAACTGTTAGTGAATAAATGAAGGAACATATTATGCTCCTAGACAGAAAAATTCAATGTTGTAAACATATAATTCCCCCTAATTAATTATAAATTTAGTGTAACCTCTATTAAAACCCCAATGGTATACATTCATTCTTTTCCTGACATGTAATTAAACAAGCTGATCTCAAAAGATAAATAACATAAGAATATCCAAAATAATAAAAATAATAACACAAGCATGCTACAAAGATCTAATTATAACTTTGAAATTAGTGCAAGAAAAGGGAAGCAAATCAGTGGAACAGAGAGAGTATCCAAAAATCTCCTAACTCTTTGAAGCAATTTTACACGATATGGATGAATGCCATATCCTAATCACAGAACAGAGCAGAGGTTTTTAAAGCATATTCCATGGACTCCTGGGCGTCCCTACGGCCTTTCAGAAGGTCCCATGTGTTCAAAACGATTTTTCATAATAGCTTCAGTTATTTTTCGAAATAACTGTTTTTGATAATAACATAATAATAAAACACTGTCAGTCTTTATATAATACTGACATTGTACTCATGGTACAAAAGCAATGGTAAGTAAAACTGTTGGCACCTTGTTACCAAAGCCAAGGCACCAAAGTAAGTCCTCAATATCATACAAATTGTACCATGTTCTTCATACCACATACAGGCAGTTTGGAAAAGAGAGAGCAGTTTGGAAAAGAGAGAGAGAAGAAGAGAGAATTCATTTTTATAATGACAAAAGTAAACATTAATGTTATAAATCTCTATCATTTAAGTACACATCTTTCTTTTTTTGAGTTGGAGTCTCACTCTGCTACCCAGACTGGAGTACAGTAGCCAGTAGTCTCAACCTGCTGGGCTCCAGCAATCCTTCCGCCTCAGCCTTCCAAGTAGCCTGAACTATAGGCACGCACTACCACGCCCAGCTAATTTTTGATTTATTGTAGAGATGAGGTC